CACCAAGGTTTGTAGCTGGAGGTATAATCAATTTTCCAAAATTTCTTTCACAAAAGACACTAAATAACTTTTTTTTTTTTTTTGGTCAGTTCAATGAGCATGTGTGCTCACCAGAAACAACACACATAATCTCCCACTAAACACGATCATGCCATAATTCTTTTTCCTCAATTCCTCCATCTTATCAGGATTTCAGGCATGAAGGGGAGTTTTATAAGCCACCAAGTGAACCATGGTGGGCCATGTGGATCTGATTCCTTTTTAATTGTTTTTATAGTCACATACACCATATTTCCCTGCCACCCTCCACCCACACCCTTCATCCTGGCAACCATTAATCTGTTCTCTATAATTTTGCTATCTGAAAAAATTTAATTGATTTATTTTCATCTAATCACATATCTCTTTGCAGTGTACATTATTTTCTAGCACGAATACCATGCATATCAGTCAAGACAGAAATATTACTATACACATTATCATCAAAAAATAGCTTCTCATTTTTTGTCAATTAAACATACTTTTACTTTTTTTTCCTTCCCCTTTTCCCTCCCTCCCATACTAAACTTTTTTTTTCATCTTTTATTGATTCACAAAGATCTTCATTAAACTAGATATGGACAAAGCTAAAATCTTTTGACAAGTACACTGTAATTTTCTTCTGAAACATTTTTTTCCTCTCCATTTTCCCTTTTACTAAAGAGAGGCACAAATTAACTTATTTGCAAAAAAAATTAAAATAAAATAAAAATAAGTTGAATCTCAACGTGGTCTGTTATTTGCCCAAAGCCCCATAAGAATTCAATTTCTGATGCAAGGCAACAGATACTATTGTATTATTGACCTTATGCAGATAACCATTCTGCCACAAAATAAGAATACTCATCAATATTTTCCAATTGCAGACAGATCAGGGAAAGACAAAAGTTTGTTTCAATTAAAAAAAAATTTTAACAAATTGCCGAACATACCAATAATTTAAAAGAAAACAAAAATCCTTAAATCAGAAAATAAAGCATAGAAGGAAATCAGTAATGTTTTAGTCAAAAGTCATAAAATTATATTTCACCAGTTCAGTCTTATGTAATTAATTTCTTTTGTTGAATATGCAGTGTTACTATGGTTTGATCTTTCCATTTAAATCCTGGATGTTAACATTCAACATTATTACTGATATATCCAGACTTGTCCTGACCATTAATTTGGCAATTTTCTTCATCATTTTTTGTTCTCTTATTGCTGTGTATCTGACTTTCATTTTTCTCATATAGCACTCACTTCAGCACTTCTTGGAGAGTTGATCAGGTGCAGGCAAATCAGGTTTTGTATATCTGAGATTTTTTTTTTTGTCTCTTCTTCCCATATGAAGGGAAATCTTGCCAGATATAGTATTCTGGGATAAAATTGTTTTTCACTTAACACTTTGAATATATTTTCTCAATCTTTCCTTGCTTGCATTGTTTCTGACAAGAGGTCCGACATCAGCCTGATGGGATATCCCTTGAAAGTAACTTGAAATTTCTCTCTTGCCAATTTTAGTATTATCTCTGCCTGTGATTTTGGTCAATCTGGCTATGATGTGCCTTGGAGAAGATCTTGGGTTGATTGTATTTTGGGGTCCTTTGTATTTCCTAAGTCTGGATATTTGAATGCTTCTCTAGGTTTGGAAAGTTTTCTTCCACAATTTCGTAGGATA